AGAGAGAGAGAGAGAGAGAGATTTAATATTTATTTTTTAGTTTTCGGTGGACACAACATCTTTATTTTATTTTTATGTGGTGCTGAGGATGGAACCCAGCGCCCCGCGCATGCCAGGCGAGCGCGTTACCTCTTGAGCCACGTCCCCAGCCCCAGAAGACTTTTTAAAGTAATTTTCAACTAACCTGTAAAATCGATTAACAAGTCTCATTCGGATTGTGTAAAGATCAGTTGGATAAGCTATTACAGTGCAGTACTTCGGATATGTACACAGATCAACTGGGCCTGCAAAAGCTGCTGCTATATCTGTTAGGGAAGGCAGACGAGTTTTATTATGAAGTCCATTACCTCTAAATAATATTTTTCTACAAACCAACAAGTTTAAGAACAACAGAAACTAGTTTAAGAACATAACTTCGGTTAGGTTACTATTTTGAAACACTTTTATGAACAACTTGAAAAGGAAACTACCACCCCACAAAAAACTTACCAAGATTCAAAAGTTGATCTATACCACTAATAATCCGGTCACATTCTTCATCTCTCGATTTCTGACCCCATTCTCCATCTTGTGGTTTATACAGCAATTTCTCTAGCTCATCTGCTGTGACTGAAATACTTGCTCCTAATTCTTCAGGTGGATCAACTATGAAACCCATTTAAAAGAGAAAGGGGTGGGGATTAGAAATCATCCAAAAAAATGTACGCATGCCATATTGAATTCAATTTTCAAAGTTCATAAATCAGATTACTTCCACAGTCAAAAATAGAGTGCAAAGGGTAAGTACTGGGGGCATAAATAGTACAAATTATACTCATTCATTTATAATTAAAATAAATTTATAGCTATTATGCACCCATAAAAATTTTTAAAACTAGTTCAACTTTTTAAAACTTATTGAGACAAGAAAGCTGTATAAGTACAACCTACCCACCCTAGTAAAATTTAAAATAGAGGGCTACCATCACAGTCTCAGTCTTTCTTCAGGGAGAAACTAACCTAGAGATCACTGAAAACAGAAACATTAAGTTTCAAAACTTAGTGAAGGGGCTGAGGTTGTGGCTCAAGCTAGAGTGCGTGCCTAGCATGTGCGAGGCCCTGGGTTCGATCCTCAGCACCACATTAAATAAATAAATAAATCTTTAAAAAAAAGCTTAGTCGAAATGTGATTTTCAAAAACGAGGCAAAAAAAGGTATAAACAAACATCCAATTCATCTTAAATGTTAAACAATGAATGAATTTTTTAAAAGGCAAATAGGGTAAAACAATTTCAATATGACAAATGGCTAAATTTCTTAATTTAAAGGAATACAAATGAAGCAGAAAGGGTGTTGTTGTTTTTGTTTTTTGATTTTTTTTTTTTAAACTTCTAGTCAGCTTACTAAACACGGGTTCCACCACAGCCAAGGAGCACCCTCTACTGGGAGCAATCACTAGAGTTACTCAGAGCACTGTTCTACGGCAGGCAGGGTCTCTGGGACAGTGGCTTTCAAACCACACAGTAGGCAGAATGTTACAGGAGGTCTTCTAGAAACACATCAGTTAAAAGCCCTACAAACACATTTTGTACAGCACCAGTTGCTTCATTTTTTGTTAATATTCTTCACTTCAAAGTTTTGATCTATGAGAACTTTTATATTTTCTTACTAGTGTAATGATGGGACGCAAAATTTATAAATAATTCCTATTACAAAGAAAAATTATTTGTTTTTATTTTCTGCAGGACTAAGAAACAGGATAGAAAGGATATTCCAGTGCTCTAGGCCAAAATTTTTGTATTTTACAATCTATTCCAGAATAATATTTTATCTATTCAAAAGGAAATAATATTTTACCTATTCAATATTTTATCTATTCAAAAAGAAAGCTAAAGAGGCTATATGAGCAAGAAACAAAGTGCTCAAAAAACACTGATTTACCAAAGCCAGAATCTGAATTTGAAACATATCTAAACTACCCAAAAACCACGATACTGGTCAAGTGTTTAACTTTTGTCCTGATTTACCCACTTGCTAAACGGGGATAGCAAAAAGTTACTACCTCACAGTCTTATTCAGCACAATGCCCCAAATGGAGCAGGTGCTCAGGAGTTAGCTACGATGTTTTTAGTTTGTTTCTGGAAAATGACATAACAAGGACTGCATATATCATACATGCTAAAACAAAACAAAAACCCAAGTTATTAAAACAATGGTTTTCAAGACAAAGAACATTAGACAAAGGACAGGAATATCACAGAAAATAAAACAAAGGAGGTAAGCCCTACCACACACCATCCTGCCTAGGGAGAAGAACCAGGCCATGGTACAAGGAGCAAGAATGAAGGTAGGGCCAGAGGAGTATCTGTAGCCAACAGACAGAACTGAGAGTTCACAGAACACAGCTTGGTGAGGACAGAGCTGCAAAGGGCTCCATGACAAGTGTTCCTTTTACTAGTGATCAGCCTGTGTATGCATAGAGGGGAAATGCGGGGAGGGGACGGGGACATAAAAAGAAACAAATGAAAGAATAAGAAATAATGAGACAAGGCACTCAAAATGCTCAAAATGGCCAGAAACCACACCTGTTTCTCACAAGCTAGACTAGAAAACTTCAGGATTCAGAACCATGGACTGACTACATAACAGAGCCAGGTCAGTAGTGGGAAATAATTAGTTCCAGGTAGAGCACTGCTCCAATCTCACCTAACAAATGTAAGTATGAAAATTTTTTCAACAAAACTGTCAGAGAACAAAGTATATTTTTAGGAATACAAAAACACTCAACCTAACAATGTAAAATTCAAAATGTTTGGGATCAAATTAAAAAATTATAAGGCATAAAAAATAATCAGGAAATATCCATTATGATATTTTACAATCTGTTTTAACCAACAGGAACTGTCAAAAATAAACATGATAAAGAATAAGCATGATATGATATGTCAAGAAATTTGTAATGTTTTGAACAACCCACAATAAAAAATTTAAAAAAAAAATAAATAAAAATAAATAAATAAATAAACATTAAAAAAAAAAAGAATAAGCATGAACACTGTGATATTTTTCGTGTTCATAGGAAAAAAATAGTATCTGGAAAGTATGGGGGGGAGAATCACCAAAGTCCAACTTCCAGAGATGAACATAATATGACATGCAAACTATATGGGATGGTAATAAAATAAGAAAACATTTGTAAACTTGAAGATACAGCACTAGAAACTATCCAAAATAAACAGTAAAAAGACAACACAGTAGGGAAAAAATAAATAAATCCCACAGACACTATATAAAAGAAACAGAAGAAACCATGACCTGAAAAAAAGTAATGAATAACAGAAATGACCAACAAGCAAACATAAGGATAGCAGTATCTTTAGACATCAAAGAAATGCAAGTCAAGACTGTAGTAACACCTCATACTCATTAGGAAGGGAAATTGAAGGAATTTAAGGAAAGGAGGAAAAAAGGACTGCCCAGGATGTAGAGAAATTGGAACCACATATACTACTGTTGGGAATATAAGATGGCACAACTGCTTTGGAAAACATCTTGGCAGTTCATCAAAAGGTTAAATGCCACATGACTCAGTAATGCCATTCCCAGGAGTCATAAGAACTTGTACATGATATTTATAGCAACTTATTTATAACCCAAAGTAGAAACAACCCAGATTTCTTCAGCTGAAGAATGGATAAATAAAATTGTGGTATGTCCATACAATGAATGTTATTTGAATATCAACAAAATGTAGTATCTTGGCTTCTAAATACCATTCTCCAATAAAATGAACCACGGCTTCATGGAATAATAGCTACTCCACAGCTAGAACAAGGAAAGTATGTTTTGAGTCTTAAACACCTGTGTCAGAAAGTAAAAAAATGCTCAAAAACAAAGGTCAAAAGACATTGGAGCCAACTTGAAGGGTCACCCAATGGTCAAAACTTTTACAGTGTGGTAACGACCTAAATAAAGGACAGCAACTGAATAAAACTTATTTAAAAAAAAAAACTATATACTAGTATAAATAAACAAGGAAGGAGAAGATGTATCTTAGAATTTCAACTACTATTATGTAAAAGAAATAATGAAAACAAAATCACTGCTTGGCAAAGAGCATCATAATTACTTCAGGCAAGAATCAATAATGGATGCTAAAATTAGGGAGTGGATGAAGGATGAGAATACCTTGTTTATAGCACATAAATATATCCCCAGGAGACATTAATTACAAACCTTACAGACATAACCTAAATCAATTGTTAAAGCTAGCTCATCCAATCATACAACAGATAGAACGTGCCTCCCAAAATAATGCACTAAAAATAAAAAGGATACTATCACTTGTCTGAAACTTTTGCTAAAGATCCAAAAGCTGGATTTCATTAAACAGAATCAGACCAAACTGAACTAAGGGATGTTCTTAAAATTACTCAGTACTCTTCAAAGACATCAAGGTCATGTAAGATGGTGGAAGAATAAGGGATCTCATAAAAGGGAACTGACATGACAATTAAATCCAACATGTAAAAAGACAGTGAAACAAAAATAAAATTTAAATAAACTCTATAGATCACATGGTAGCACCAAGTAGATAATTTCCTGGTTTTTAGTAAAACCTTCTATGTATTTATACTAGAATGTCTCAAATTTTCATAAAGTAACATAACTTAATATTTAGCGGCTACACTCTTTTATGCTATTATATTTGACCATTTGGAGCCCCTTCAAATTGGCTCCTATGTCTTTTGATCATTGTTTTGTCGTTTTTGAGCATTTCTTTACTTTCTGACACAAGGAGGTATTCTAAGTCTCACCTTGTACTTTCCTTGTTCTAGTTGTGGAGTCGGCCATTATTCCATGAAGGTATGCTCCACTTTGTTGGTGAATGGTATTTATAAAAACCAAGGTACTTCTTCTTATTGATGAACAACAACAATTCATTGTACATGTTGACTACGTAAGATGGGAAATCCAGGTATCAAGAAATTTTCTGCCCAATTTTTGTAATATTTTATAATGAATTTTTTTTAAATGAACAGTTTTTTAAAGTGCAATAAAGTGAAAAGCTTTTTTTTGGGGGGGCGGGATTCTAGAGATTGAAAGCAGGGGTGCTTTACTACTGAATTACACAACCAGCTCTTTTTATTTTGACATGGGGTCTAAGTTGCCCAGATGGCCTCCAACTTGCAACCTTCGTATCTGAGATAAATTTATAATCCATAATTCTTTAAATGGAAATGATACTTTGTCATTTTATTAGGCATTTCCATAACAATATTGATATGTGAGGTGTTCATATGCTCCTTGTTTTTTTGCCTGCTCATGTCTTTTGACAATTTTAAATGCGTATTGGCCTCATTTATACATGGGAGTTTTTTATAGAAGTTATGGAGTGTTTTCACTGATCTGTAATATCCTTTAAAATGAAGCAGCCAAGCCTTTATCTCTGTCAACTGCACTACTTCATTGCCGGCAACCTTTGGGCCAAGTAGCATGACGCCCACTGTGGAGAACTACATCAACTGCACTGTTGCTGTTATTACTTCTGATGGGAGAATGATTGTGGGAACACTGAAAGGCTTTGACCAGATCATTAATTTGATTTTGGATGAAAGCCATGAATAAGTATTCACTGAGCTCTTCACAGGGAGTAGAACACTGGTACTAGGACATATATTCTAAGAAGTGACAATGTTGTAGTAATTGGAGACACTGCTGATCAGAGAGATTCTACATTTGACTTTTGGAATATTCCAGCAGAATCTCTAAACTCTGTAGCACACTGAGAAAACTAATACATTAGGCATCTAAAGCTTACACAGAAACCAAGTATTCTGAGGAAGATATATAAAATTTTTAGGAATGAGTAATAGTGAATTCTGACTTCATATTGATTCACTGTAATATATAAATAAAAATATTTCTACATTTTTACTGAAAAAATATTTTTGCCTAAATATCAGTATGGTAGCTTGGTTTTATTTTTCTTTTAAATGATGTGAAAATCTAATGATTTTTAAAATGTAGAAAAACTGGTACTGATATTTTAATATTTATGGAAAACTACTTGAAAAGAGAAATGTTTGCATTATATAAATTGTGCACACAAATATCCTTAATAATGCAAGCTTAAAAAAAAAAAAATGAAGCAGCTGCAAACAAGCAGCAGTTAAAAGTACAAGTTAGAGCCAGATAGTGTGAGTAAGAATCCAAGTTCTTACCCTTCCTAGATGTTTGACTTTAGGCAAGTTATGTAAAACTGAGCCATGGGCTGGGCATGTAGCACAGTGGTAGAGTGCTTGCCCAGCACGAGTGAGGCCCAAGATCAATTTGGGGGTCATAGGGAAGATGCCAACAGGGGTGGCGCACGAGATTCTGCCTTAATTACCTCTGTAAAATAAAGCATCAACCTCAGAGTAAGATTAAGTCAATTGATAAGATGAAGTTCTTAGCAGAGTAAGAAATCAAAAGAGGTTGGGTTTGCAGGGTTCATTAGCACATTACCTATAATCCCACCGATGTGAGAGGCTGTGGTAAAAGGATCACAAAGTTTGAGGCAAGCCTCAACAACTCAGCAAGATCCTATATCAAATTTTTAAAAAATGAAAAGGACTGCAATGCAGCTCTGTGGTAAAGTGCCCTTGGGTTCAATCCCTAGTACTGCCCCAAAAAGGCTGGGTCTTACTTGTCTACTATATGCTCACACATTATGTCTTCAACTAAGCACCATTTTTAAGTTACTAAGCTCAAAAGAAAATCTAAAGTCACTGGTATCTTCAACAGTGCAGTTATTAGAAAAAACTATTTGAAAAACTCCATATTTCCAAAATAAAGTGGACAAAGGTTGATGGAGATATAGTAGAATAAAAGCACAAAGGAAAAGGGTTGGCCCTGGGACAGAAACAGCAAGAATCTCATGGAGGAAAGAGTTCATGCATCTCCAAGCAATGGGTTACAGAAGGACAGGAGTGTTGGTTTTTTGTGGTTGTTAAACCAACAATCTCTTGCCTTGGCCCCAGACTTGCTGGGATTACAGGTGTGCACCACCACTCCCGGGATGGAAAGACAAGCCTTTTTATTCCCCACCCCCCAAGTTTAGTAAACACTAATGATAAAAGAAAGCTTAGTAGTGAACATTAGGTAAGAGAAATACAGCACCCCTTTCAAAAGATTAAGCAAGAAAGAAAAAATTCACCAGCTTAAATGTTCAATAAAGCCAAATGAAAAGTTCAAGAGACATAGTCAAACCTGAAAAGAGAAATGAAGAAGGAAATTAAAATTACTGAAGGAAATGAGCTAAGAATAAATACCAGGTCCTTCAAAAGGTGGCAGTTGTGGAACAGCACACTCTGGAGGAAGGGTAAGCTTTCACAAAGAACACACAATCCATAGGAAGGTAGAGGGAAAGCAGAAGACACAGGGAAATCAACTCTGATCTTTCACTTGACAGAATAAGAATGAAGAAAAGGAAGTGGAGGACACATGAAAGAAGTCTCGAAGAGTTTAAAGCATGGTGGTGTATGCAGCGATAGCAGGCTACTAAGAGTCAAGCTGGAATCCGAGATCAAGACTGAATGAGAGAGGGGCTGCAGTGGTAGCTCAGTGGTAAAGCACTTGCCTAGATGTGCGAGGCACTGGGTTCTATTCTCAGCACCACATATAAATAAATGAATAAAATAAAGGTTCATCAATGTGTTTTTAAAAAAGAATGAGAGAGATATATGTTAATTCTATTGTCTTAGTACTATGTTTTGAGTGATAATTTGAACATACTTACAAAAAAATATAGTCATGCTCTATCTAGTATGTGCAACGGCAAGATAAATTGCAAACAATATAAAGATAATGAAAATGTTTTCATTTATATATATACCATTATCAGGAATTGGTTCCATGTCCCATGGGCTTAATTTTTCAATTTCAGTATTGTCCCACCTGTTTAAAAAACAACAAAACTCTGGTTAGCCTTTTAATGAAAACAAACTGATTACATAATAACAACTGTTATAAAGTAACCAAAAGAATACAAAATATGAAAATTAACCACACTGCATCAAAAAGATTTTAAATACTAACATGAAATTTTGTAGAAGGACACATTATGAATAGAGTAAAAAAGTATGTCAGGTTTAAGAAATCCAGATATCCTCTGTGGCCCATACCCAGAATTAAGTAAAGGATAAATCAGAGTCAGGATTCACAGGATAAACTTGGTACCACAACCGAACAGTCTTCATGCCACAGCCAATTGAAATGCAAAGATGTTTTTAAGAAGATTAATTATATGTATTTCTTAACATATTTAACTGACAATATTAGGTAAAAAGAAAATATCAGGTGGCTACAGAAACTGTCTCAGGGAAGTAAGCAGAACCTAAACCAACAGGAATTTTATTGGAAACAAACAGGTGCCCGTCAGAGACATTTTGGAGGTCAGATTGATAAAGACTTAAGAAGAGGACTAGGATTGTGGCTCAGTGGTAGAGCACTTGCCTAGCATGTGTGAGGCCCTGGGTGATTCTCAGCAGTGCATGTAAATAAATAAAAGTCCACTGACAGGAATGATGGTGGAATGAGTTAGACACCATTACTCTAAGTACATGTATGAAGACACAAGTGCTGTGAAAATACTGTTTGTACAGTGATTTGAAAATTATGCTCTTATATGTGTAATATGAAATGAACTGCATTCTGCCATCATGTATAACAAATTAGAATAAATGATTTTAAAAACATACCAATAATTATTTTTTTTAAAAGTTCATTGACAACTAAAAAAAAAAATATTAAAAGGACAAAATTATATTTAACCAGAAATACATTAGTCATACAACAACCTGCCACAGTAAATATTTAGATGGTTGGTTTTCATCAGTATACAAACCTAACAATGTAACACTGGAAATGACTATCAGGATACTGTGGTTGATATGGCTCTTGACTTAACACTGTTCCAAACCACCAAGCATCATCAATTATAGATCGGAACCTGTCACCTGTAAGAGAAAAGATCTAGTCTGAGGCATCTATTAACATTTTTTCTCTATAAAATATTATATTTAAGGCTGTGTTCTGGCTCAGTGGTAGAGCACTTGCCTAGCATGAGTGAGGCACTGGGTTCAATCTCTAGCACCACATAAAAATAAAATAAAGGTATTGTGTCCATCTACAATTTAAAAAAAATATTTAGATAAATAGATTTTTAAAAAGGTCTGTTTTCCTCAAGACACTGCATTTAAAACTAGGTTATTATAGATTATTATAGCAAAGGCAAAATATTTTTTCACATACAGAACACTTTCAGTGTAAAATATGAAATTATTTTCAATCTCTGGATCATTTGAGATCCTACGACAATAATGTAAATGATTTAGAATAAATTATTTATTAGGATAAATAATTTATTAGAATAAATTATTTTAAAAACATACCAATAATTATATCAGTATCCCATTAAAGATAAAAAGATGTAATATATTATGGAGAAGTCAGAAAGGAAATAATAAGTCTAATCTACTGTCAATGTGTAAAAATAATCTTCTCCCAACACCACAAACAAACCTTAAAAATAGGAGAAAAACTGATTGGCTTTAAAAAAGTCTACACAGGATCAGTACCAGTTAGTACTAAGTCCTCGGCAACATATATGTACAGGTCATTTATGTTTCTATCAAGAGCTCATATGTTTATATATAACATAATTAAGAGTGCTACAACTAAAAAGGTAGAACAATGAAATATTAATCTTTGAGGCTATATAAAATTGAGTAGGATAGACTTACAGGACTGCCAATTTCTCTGTCTTGCTTCATCATAAAATTGACGCAATACAAGAAAATCAATAACATCTGGCATATCATGATATCTAAACAGAAATAAAAATTATCACACTGTCTACACAATAGATTACAGCTGAAAGCAACACTGTGCAAAAGAAACATAACAGTAGCTATATATGTAATTTAAACTTTTTCCCAGGCCATAAAAGTAAAAACAAAAAGCAATGAGTTTTCAATAGTGTATTATATTTCACCCAACATACCTAAAATACTATTACAATATGTAAAGAGATATTTTACATTCTTTTTCTTCACTCCCAAGTCTTTGATCAAAATGCAGTGTAAACAATTCAAATCAGCCACATTTAAGTGTTCAAATGCTAAATGATTAGTGCCTTTCATGAACAGCGTAGGTATAACAGAGGGTTTATCCTAAAATTATCTCAAAGAATAAAGGCAATTTCTGGACAGATCCGAATTCTCCACTCGGGCAAGTGAATGTTTTTTTGTTTTTTTTTTAAAAAACTGCTGCTGCCCAGCTGCTGAAAGACCCACATGACTACCAATGGTTCCTTCACCCCCATCTGAGCTAGCCATAGGTTCTACTAGGGATCATGCAATAAAGGGAAAGGATATGCTCATTAGCAAAATAGAGAAACCTAAATTCAAACAATTCCATTAAAAATAGTACATACCTTATAGAGAATGATTTATCCGTAAGTCTTCCAGTTGCTGGATCTATAAATGCTAGTTTGAGGCAACAGAGTGTAGGAGGCCCAACCTCATATCGTATTCCAACTATTTTAACCAATTCTTGATCCTATAACAGACATTTAAAAAAAAAAAAAAAGTGGTTAAAATAAAGCAGCTCTTTCTTCCTCTGGAGATGGCCCACATTCTCCCTTGAACATGCCTCTGTTTTCCTAAATAAACCTATCTCTGCCTCTGGAGAAAATAAATTAATAAATTACAATCATTTTTGCTAATATCCACAATACAAGATATTTTATACATTTCAAATATAAGAACTTTAAAAAGTAAGTATAGTCACTCTAGAAAATATAACATGAAAGTACAAGAATAAAAGCACAAATTACCAATCAGCTTAGCATTTAAAGACAGTCACTGTTAACAGGACTCATTTCCTTTTGGCTTTCTTCTCCTTATACACAGATTTTCTAACATAAATTTTGTACTAGACATTTTTCACCAAACTAGGGGGAAAAATACTAAAATGCATATAATTAATTTTTTAAAACCACCTCTGGGTGTGGTGGTGCACACCTGTAATCCCAGTGGCTCAGGATCATGAATTCAAAGCCAGCCTCAGCAACTTATCGAAACACTAGCAACCCAGTGAGATCCTATCTCTAAATAAAATACAAGATGATCAGGGGATGTGGCTCAGTGGTTGAGTGCCCCTGGGTTCAATCCCCAGTACAAAAAAAAAAAAAAAGAACCTCTGAATAGCAAAAGCATTCTTGAGCAAAAAGAATAGAAAAGAACTACCTGAGGTCAAAGCTATCATAAGCAAAGCGGCTTGGTATTAGTATAAAAACAGACACACAGACCAACGATTCCATAGAGAACCTAGAGGTGAAAACACATCCAGCCAACTGATCTTCAAGAAATGTGTTAAGAACATAAACTGGAGGGGGCTGAGGTTGTGACTCAGTGGTAGAGCACTGCCTAGCATGTGTGAGGCACTGGGTTCAATTCTCAGCATACACATAAATAAAGGTCCAATGACAATTAAAAAAAAAAAAAACTGGCTTTGGGACAGCACGGTGCCACATGCCTGTAATCCCAGCTGCTCGGGAGGCAGAGGCAGGAGGATCCTGAGTTCAAAGCCAGCCTCAGCAATTTACTGAGGCACTAAGCAACTCAGTGAGACCCTGTCCCTAATAAAATACAAAATAAGGATGGGGATGTGGCTCAGTGGTTGAGTGCCTCTGAGTTCAATCACCAGTAACCCCCCCCCCCCAAAAAAAAAAGAACCTATACTGGAGAAAAAACAATCTTGTCGATAAATGGTGCTGGGAAAACTGGTTTTTCACATACCGAAGAATAAAAATAGATTATCTCACTGACAATTAAAAAAAAATTGAACTCAAAGTGGATTAAAGATTTAAATATAAGGCATGAAACTACTAGGAAGAAACACAGGGGTTAACACTTCAGGACACTGGAATGGGCAAAGACATCTAGGAGATAACCCCCAAAGCGCAGGAAACAGATGTAAAAATAGACAAACACAATTAGAAACAATAAAGCTTCTGCACAGCAAAGGAAACAAATCAAGGGAGCAATGAGAACCTGCAGAATAGATGAAAATATTTGCCAAATGTCCATCTGTCATAAGTTAATAATCAGAATACCTAAGAAACTCAACAGCAGTAAGACAGGAAATAAACCTAAACAGACATTTCTCAAAAGATGACAAATGGTCAATATGTATACAAAAAAATGTTCAGTATCAACTAAGAATCAGGGAATATGAACCAAAACTGTAATGAGATATCATCTCATCCCAATAAAAATAGCTATTATAAAAAAACAAAAGATAATGAGTACTTGCCAACATGGAGAAAAGGAAATTCTTACACACTGTTGGTGGAAATGTACATAAGTAGTCAAATGATCTCACAATTCTACTGGATACAAATCCCAAACAAGAAGAATCAAGTGAAGAGAGAGCTGCACGTCTATGTTTATCATCGTACTATTTATTCAACAGTAGCCAAGAAACAGAAACAACTTATGTTCAACAATGCTGGATGGATTTTTGAAAAAGTAATATAGATTCCAATGGAATAATATCCAGTCATAAAAATGGATGAAATCCTGTCATTTGCAACAGTTATATATAGAACGGGAGGACATTAAGTGAAATAAGCAAGGTACAATGAGACATACTACATGTTAAAATTCTTCTGTGGAAACTAAAAGGCATATCTCATAGTAGTTCAGAGTACAGCAGTGGTTACCAGAAGCAGAAGAAAAGGGGAAAAGGTTGACAAATGGATACCAACTTAGGTAGACAGGAGAAGTAAGTTCTGGTGATGTATTACACAGTAGCTAGACAGCTAGAAGAAAGCATTTTGAATGTTCACACCAGAAAGAAATAATAAATGTTTGAGGAGACAGATATGTTTACCCTGATTTCAATGTTATCCACTGTATGTATGTATGTATGTATTGAAACACCACTGGTACCTCATTAATGTAATTTTATTCTTTTTTTTTTAATGGGGAAAAATGAAATATCAGATGTGATTGTTATACCAAACAAAGTATTAAACACAGTGAATTCTCTTTTGCAGCAGTTACATTCCATGAAGTGTCTTATACTGGAATGGAAGGAAACTGGATCAGAGTTCCAAAGGCAAGCCCATGTTAGACTCCCAGGAAACTGGGGTCACCAAACTGTAGTGAACTACAGAACACAGCACCACTTTTTTATGTGTTTGTATTTAAAGGCAGATCTTCAAAAACACACACACACACCGTACTGCAGTGAACTACTGAACACAGTACCACTTTATATGTTTGTATTTAAAGGCATATCTTACACACACACACAAGGTTGATTCCTCAACACTGAACTCACATGGAACACTAAAACTCACATCATCAGAATGACACCGGGCTAATACATATGTTCGCCCTATGTTACACCATAGTCTTCCGGCACTAGGAACACCTGCCATCACTTAAACACCATGCTCAGGGGACCTTATAAATAGCAAAATCAAGGACTGGGGTTGTGGCTCAAGCAGTGGCACACTCGCCTGGCGCTGGGTTCGATCCTCACCACCACATAAAAATGAAATAAAGATATTGTGTCCACCGAAAACTAAAATATTTTAAAAAATAATAATAAATAAATAGCAAAATTATTGCCCCATCTCCCAAAAGAATTATAAAACACGAGAAACATGTGGCAGTAAACACACCATGACATGGATTTGTGCTTGTAGCACAAGAACTGAAACAAGATGGCAGAGGATTACCTTGTTCAACCTCATCCAGGAATATGTTATATTCATCAGGCAATTCAAATTTTTTGCCACTCTTAACACATCCAGGAATGACTAAAGAGCTCCATGAATATTGATTTTAGAGTTCTAAATAGCACAGCAAGTATGTTATTTGCAAATACCAAGTCCATGAATAATGAGGACTGATGCAGTGAAACGGACTTAAGCCTCCATATGCATTTAAAAGCCAAATGTATAGGAATAGGACTGCTATGATGAGTAAAACTGTGAGAACAGCCATCTTCATAAAATAGTTTTTGCATATCAAACATGAACATATTTTTTAAATGCCCATAACGCTGCTCCACAGATAATCACTAACATTCTGATGTTTTTTCTTTTCGTTAGAAATGTAATCAACTATGAAATCTTACTTAAATTACCACAAAACATCACTTAACATTAGGATTCTCCTCTTAATCCTTTGTGAAAATTCAAATACCTTACAAGCTTTGACTGCAAGAAGTTGATGTGCAAACGCACCATGACTTGCTTCAATCACTATGGTAGCGTAGATTTTTCTCCCCAATTTTTTATTTTTATAAACAATGAAATGGAACATTCTTCATAAATTTATAAATCTTTCTGCTTATTTTCTAAATTACCAGAAGGAAAACCACTAATTTAACAGGTCTTAGAATCTTTCAGCTTCAATTTCTACTGCCAAAATACTCTCTGGAAGGCCCAGGTCATCCCACACACCCTATCAGCAATTTAAATACATTATCAAATCAAAATCTTTGCTACTTACTGAAATAAAGCATTTTTTTAATTAAAATAAGAAAAAATTACATAACTAATTAAGTATTGAAAAGGTGAAAGCTATTTCCTTATTTATGCATGAAGTTAAAATTTCCAACTTTTATTTCTTCCCTTGAAACTTGCATTTCTTCTTTCTAAAATCTGTTGAGTACAAGTATTTTTAATACAAATAATGCCACACACTGCCTTTCTGAGAGACTCTATTGTATTTAACGTTTGTACACTGTAACTTTAATTCTTTGTTGTTGTTGTGTTGTTGTTATTGTTATGAAGGATCTCTCTATTTTTTTTATTTTATTTGGTGCTAAGGATTCAACCCAGTGTATCATACTTGCGAGGCAGGACCTTTCAGCCCCACCCTGCACTTCGACTTTTTTAAAGTGAGGGGAGGGGGACCACTAAGCTACAACATCAGCCTTTTTTATTTTGAGACAATCTAAGTTACCCTGGCTGGCAGCAGTGAATCCTCCTTCCTCGACCTCCCTGGAAGCTGAGATCACGGGTGTGCATAACCGAGCCCAATTCCCTGGGTCTTAAGACTTGGCAAGCAAGAGCAGAAGAGCAGAAAAGCTTTAAAGGAGAGAGAAGTATGCTTCCATAGGTTTTTAAGTAGATTTATAAAAATTTAACTGTGTATTAAGTTAGCAATTTAATAATACCATCAACTTACCCTAAGATCCATTTTTCTCCATGGCTCCTTATTAGGGTTGAGTTCATAGATGTTATTTCTTCTGACAGCTTCAATATAAGCTTCATGACCCTGTCGAAAATAGATTACCTACAAAAGAGAAGTATACATTTAAAAATTAGCAGAGAGCTAAAGAGCAATAGAAATTTTATGTTCTGTATTCACATTTTTAAATTTTATTATTCTCACCTCATCACCCATCTGAGGAACGAAGGGAGACTTTCGAAGTGTGGTGTCAGTTATCCAAACTGGAGGATGAAATTCATATAAGTGTTCCATGCTTACAAGCTCTGTTGGAGTCATCCTCCGCAAATTCTGCCAAGGGGAAGAGAACAAAGCATGTTGGAAAAGAAGGGGACAAGATGCATTGAGAAACCAAAGAAGCTTCACCATTCAGAATTATTGCTTAGCATCACCATCTAATGATTACTTTTGGAGGGCGGGGAGGGGTGCTAGGGATCAAATTCAGGGGCACTTAAACACTGAGCCACATCAGTGGATGTGAATCAAGCCTTTTTATATTTTATTTTGAGACAAGAGTTTCACTAAGTTGCTTAGGGCCTCACTAACTTCCTGAGGCTGGCTTTGAACTTGCAATCCTCCTGCCTCAAATTCGCAAACTCCCCAGCTGCTGAGATTACAAGCATACACCATAATGCCCAGCCCAATTACAGCACTAGTACTTGCCTCATCAACCTACACACAAGAATGTTATCACTTCTAAAAGCATTAAAGACCTACCTAGTTTTTTCCTAAAATCACCTCCTGAATTTCTTTCAGTTTTAGAAAGGCATAAAAATTAAGTCTACTTCTCAAAACTGTAGAGATGGAGAAGTATTAATAACTAAAGCAACTTTTCCCCAAATAAGTTTACTTTTATATTTTACTCCTCTTGGCCTCTAACACTCTTACTAAATAAGGGCTAGTAAGTAGCTAAATTGTAGAGTGTCTGCCTCACATCCACAATGCCCTGGATTCTATCCCCCGCACTGCAAAAAAAAAATGAAAGAAAGAAAAGCTCCAATTTCTCAAAGATTTTTGGTTATTACGTAAGGACAAACCCACCCTGTATAAAATAGAGTTGGTGGGGTTGTGGCTCAGTGGTAGAGCACTTGCCTAGCATGTGTGAG